TATATAAGGATGGATGGAGGAGATTGTTTATTTACTGGATGAAAAAAGGTTAGTTAATTCTTGCCTGACATTATTTTCATCACATGAAATACGTGCCAAGTATGGTATCATAGAATTTTTATACTTAGACGTGTGAGCATACAGTTTTCTGAAGTTACTTCTTGTTCTACCTGAGGAGATGCAAGGTGAAAGCTGAGGGTGAAGTGGATGCTCCAAGTCAGACAAAATCCCTTTAGCAAATTTATTGCACGAAGTCAAGTGCCTATCGACAACGACGTTAACTATGTAGTCCACTGGGACACCACTCATCCTACTGACCGTCTTCAGCATTCTACGAATTGTGACATAGTCCTTTTTAAGCAAACCAGGAAAGAATAAGGGTGAACAATAAAGAAGAATAGGTAGGATGCAAGAGTTTATGAACTGTAAGAGGAGGGGTTGAGTTATACCCGAGTGCCTTAACTTCTTAATGTAAAATGTCAGGCGGAATATTTTACTGGAGATCGCTGAGACATGGGAAGACCAGGAGAGATCAGAAGAGAGAATAAGTCCAAGAAGGCAATGAGTATAAGGAGAATCATAAAGATTTAATGGTTTAAGGAGGTTACAAAGAATGTAAATGCACCTGCTCTATACCATCAATAGTCTCATCAGCCTACTAGTTCTCAGTATCCCAAAGCTTTCAATCAGGCGATCCACACGTCCCTATGTGATTATCTCAGACCAACTGTCAGAGACTCTAAGCCTATTTTTATTTATTGTTCACCTCATTTATTCTTCCCTGGACTTCTCAAAAAAGATTATGTCATATTACGTAAAACACTGAAGATAGCAAGTAGGGTTAGTGGGGTGTGTGCCTTTGACTCAGTTAACTGACATTGTTGTCGACCGACACTTCAATTTTCGCCATCATTTGGCTGAAGTTATCTTGTCTGATATCGAACATCCTTTTTAATTTTCAAATGTTGCTTTGTATCTCTTCGGGGGGGGGTGGGTGAAACATGAAGAAACGTCATAAGAATTTACGCTCGTACAACTACAAAATATAAAAATTGTGCCATACGTCTTATTGATATAAGTATAAAACTGGGCACTGTGGTGGTAGAGTATAACTCCATTATGGATAAGCTTTTATTTCGATTAGTCACACAGTGTTAAACAGTAATACTAACTGATGACGTTTCGAGCACAAATTATTAATGCCATTCATAATCATATCAAGTTACTCACACAACTTTTTTTCCTCATTTATATACATGTGTGGAATTGATCACAGACGGCTTCATTCTGCGTATTATTTCTGCTTTTGATCTCTTACCCTTATTCATTATTGTATCTACAGGCTTCTTAATTTCCTCATATGGAGCCGTCTGAATATGTTCAGTGACTTTTGATATAGTCAGATTTTTTAAATCATGGAAAATTCCCATTGTAACATATAGAAAATCAAAACAAATGATTCAGCGAAGAGACTCTTTTCAACGAATTTATTATCAAGCTGTACAATCGTATATATATGGTTTTCTTTCAAGAAGTTATATCCGGTGAGAGAATTAAATCATAGGTGTGAATGCATAAAATAATAATAACAGCAATAATATGAAATGCAATTAAAACTAAAACGCTTGTGATTATAATCATAGTTAAATTTCAAGTGGCAAAGCAAATTAATGTCATATATAGAATAATTCATAGGATGGATAGAACTTGGAAAGGGGGTGAGCAATCATAGGATTAGTAGACAAATCGAATAAAATTAAAACGTGAGTTTATCAATTCACCTGCTCGTTTGGAACTAGGTATACCGGTCGTTCGACTCGAGTTTCGTCCAAGAGGGTACAAGAACACTATCCTGGATGGTAGTTACGAAGAGGTGGAAGTGCAGCTATAAGAAGTAGTGCAATCATTGAACATCTGGTCGATAATGATCACTCTATCTCTATAGCCTCCGCCTTTAAAGTCATCTACAAGGCAAAAAGTAATTTATCGAAATCACCAAGTAGCCGACTCATCTGTATTGCTCTAGCTTTCGCTATGGAAACAGAAAAGCCAGATCTCTGTGTACAGAAAAAGTTCGTTCAACCTCTCCAACTTTCATGGTCTTAATCCTTCTATGCTAAAGTATGGTAATCCCCAAACATATTTTAGCTTTACCAATTTTTCATTTTTGTCTATTCAATTTGTATACTCTTCCTTATTAAGTCGATTGTTACTATTACTACTCTCACTTTTAATTGTCCCCGGTATTATTTCACTTGTTCCACTTGTCATTCTAAATCAGTTCCTTTATGCAACATTAAATTCTATGCTATTACATTTCACACAATATTACGTAAAGTTTTTATTTTATTCGATTTGTCTACTATTCTTATAATTGCACACCTTTTTCAAGTTCTATCCATCCTATGAATTATTCTATATATGACATCAATTTGCTTTGCCACTTGACATTTAACTATGATTATAATCACAAACATTTTAGTTTTAATTGCATTTCATATTATTATTAATTTTTTACGCATTCACACCTATGATTCAATTCCCTCACCGGATATAACTTCTTGAAAGGAAACCATATATATACGATTGTACAGCTTGATGATAAATTCGTTGAAAAGAGTCTCTTCGCTGAATCATTTGTTTTGATATTCTATAGTCAGATTTATCCAAAACTGCGGTAGAGTTTCCTTTATCAGCTTTTGCAATGACAATGCTTTTATCCTGTTTTAAACTAATGAAAAAGCTTCTCTTTTTTTCCGATTTTGTTAAGTTTGATTTTGCCTTCTTTTGATTTTTCAGGGATAATGGACATTGTGCTCGAACCTCTTCTGCTATTGTCTTATCTATTGAACCTAGTGCTACTTCTATGTTAGGCATGACATCTTCCGGCTTTAATTTACTAACTGTTACGTTGAAATTTAGTCCTTTCTCAAGTACTTTTTATCTCACTAGAGCTTAGTTCCCTTGATGGGAAGAGGTTAATCACCCACATTTTGTTCTGTCAATATAGGATGAAAACGTTGACGTCAGTTTCATTTTTATTATGTGTTCTTTTCTTCCATTAGTTTGTTGAATTTTTTTGATTTGTGTGGTTTAGAAAGGATTTTGTGTGAAGAGAGAGTCAGATGTTAGAAAAGCACTTATAAACCTTTTTAAATCCGTAACTGGACTGTGAAGTATAAGCAAAGATTATTATTATTATCATTATTATTATTATTATTACATGTATTATCTATGATACTGTCTAATTATATATAATCATAAAAGGAGCTGAATTGTTGCAATATGTATAAAAAGCTTGAATAATTCCATTCTGTACAATTGTTATTATCGTTTGGAATAAAGGGATTATTATTAATATTATTATTATTATTAAATTTCGATTTGTCCGCCCCTTCCTCTTTTCCAGCCTACACATCCTATGTAAGCCACTATTGGTCGATAAGAAAGGCTCACCCCGTGCGTATCATACGTCCTAGACATACCAATTGATGTAGATCATAATCTCATCGATCGGCTTTCCCTCCTACTAAACTAACATACGACGATGCCTAAACGCAACTGACTAACTGACTGACTCGTTTCAACATTGAACTTTGCACCGATGTGCACCAGCTCGAGTCACCACACTCCCTCCATCCAGCACACAAAGCAAGAGAAGAAATTGTAAAGAAACGCAAAATAGAGACAGTAAACAGAGATAAGAGGCAAAAAAAGAATAGTAATATCGAAGAACAATATTGTTTTATTGGAAACTATAAGTCACAAGGAGTGGATACATCTGCGCCATCACCGAGACTGACGATTTTGAGCCATATCACCAATTTTCTCCAGCCTTCATTGATTCTTATCATCCCGGCTGGCTGGTTGGCTGGCTTGAACTAACTATTGTTTTGACCACCACTGGTTCTTTTCCAACCTTATCCATCCTATCTCAGTCAGCTAACATTGCCCGTTGTCGAGGAAGGTGATGGCTAGACAAGCATGCGTAACACATGTCCAAACCATCTCAATGGATTTAACTTCACAACCTCATTGACTGCTTTTCCCTCCTTAGCACTTGACCGATGCCCAACCTCAATATTATTCACCCTATTACACCTACCACCGAACACGGGAGATAGAATGCAGGCACCTATGATCGAAGACAGCTAGCCAGACCTTTCATGTCTTCCACTCTCAATAGCGATATCTCACTCACAGTCATAAAGGAGGACGGAGCGGTCGATAGTCAGCCGGATATCACATCTTCGCCAGAGATGGCGTAAGCTGGCATATGCGGAACGAACCTGCTGTATCCATTCTGTGATTTCGTCAGCGAGCAACCCGTTGGCGTTGTCTAATGCAACTTACCAAATAAGTGAAGTGGTCAACACGCTCCACCAACCACTTCACTCCCTATATCTAAACTAGTAGTCAATGTAGTCCAGTCGAGTCCTGTAGCATCATCTTACATTTCACAGCAGGGGCAAGTCGTATGCCAAACACTCGTAGATTGCAGCTCAAGGTGTTCAGAAGACTCCGCTCTATTTTGTCAGCGTCTTCACCTAGAAGGACTCTATTTCATATCATCTGCATATCCTAAGTGAACGAGATTATTCCCTAATGGTAACAAGTCAATCCCTAAGTCTCTGAACTGAGTTAGGGTTAAGTCCATTAGGCCAAAACGCAATGTTGCTCACCATATTACACCACTTAACACGACAGATAAAACGCTAACGCTTCCATTTTTTCCGCTTTGAATGGCTAGGTGTCACAGCCACAGAAAAGGACGGAGAAAACAGCGGCACATAAAACACCTTTTTTGATTAATAATCTGATATCACGAAAAGAACTAAACACTAATACTGTCAAAAGTTAAGCGTTATTCACTAGGCCACTGACACACAAGAGTCACCTCCTGTGGAATCAATATCAGTCTCTCCCTGTCAACAAAAATCAACCGAGAATTATTAGCAAATCATGGATAAAGTCTTAAAGATTATGAAATTTACACTTACCTCCGTTAGATGATTTCATGTGAGCATCATGGATTTCTTTAAGTCGGGGTAAAGATGAGTAATTTGTATTGAATGGTAATTTCTCTCCGTCTGGATCTTCATTAATTAAATTTACATAAGAATGACTTGAACTCGGTAGCTGCAAACACATAGGATAACAAAGAAAAAACACAGGAGGGGGAGGTAAAAGATTATTAAGGAGTGAACTACGTGAAAGAATAAAGGGGAATTATCATCCGATTATTATTATTGCTTTGGGTTCAAAGTAAAACATAGGACTAGAGCGACACAATACTCAGTTATCTGTAGTGACTTTTATTGTGCTCTACGCCCACCCATGAGCTTTCAAATCCTCCTCATTCTTGGACGCTAATGCTCAATTCGTCGCTTCCCATTCAAGTACCACTTGAGGGGCTTACATGACTCACAATCTCACTCGATGGGTCTCCTCAGGGTATGTTCGAATCCACCTCCATTTCATTCTGCCTATTTATCAGGTGATGAGTTTTTGGTTCCTTCATTCCCTAAGTTGTCTTTTTGTTTATCATTTCTGATGGGACCGTGTGATCCTCATTATGAAGGGGCCAAGTCTCCCCCGTCAACCATACTAAAGCTCTGGCTTGACATCAGTGTTGAGTAGAGTAGATTTCACACACCTACTTCAGAGTAAAGAATATCTCTCTTGATTCACTGATGATGTTTCGAGCATAAACTATTGCTCATAATCATATCCAGCCACTTACACAACTTGCTTCCTTTATTTATATACATGAGGAAAACTTCATAACTAAACATTTGAATAAAATCAATAATATAAGATAAAGTACATTCAGAAATAATAATATTAGAGTTATCAATCAAATACAGTGGGATGGGAAATAAGATGTTTTCATAGTAAAATTAATAAATAACTTGTTAGAATGTTATTATAATGTACGTGAACTGAAATAGAATTTTAAGATTATTTAACATCCTCCTATGATTTGACTGACTGGTGGTAATAATATCTTCTATATTTCTGGTATTCGCATTGAGTCATTACTGTTGCATGTGTTGTGTTGGGTGTAGACTCGATGAACCAAGATTCAGTAATCAATCTCTCTCTCCACCTACATAGATTACTTCTTAGAATCTTAACCCTCTCCCATCCTATTGTGTGGTTATGTGTTAATGCATGGAGTGCTATTGATGAGCCTTTTTCTAGATTACTTATCTTCGCGGCGTCAACCATTCTTACCTTAACTAAATTCTTATGTCCTGACAATCTGACTACCCTTGACCTACTAGTTTGACCTATGCAGTTGACCTCACTCACAGTCATTGCAAGGTATTTTGTAAATTATATTATTTTGTCTAATTGGATTAACTGACAGCGTCATTTAACTTACAGAGCTTGTCCTCCCTGAGTGAGTTTGTAGGTTTAAATGCCACTCTAATTCCTGCTTTATTAAGAATCCCAAGTAGGGCCTCAGATGTCCCCTCCTTATATGGTAAAACCACTGTGGATGCCTTATATTCTCTCTTATTTATGTTACCATTATTAGTTTCACCATTTATTATTTTTATTTTGCTTTTGACGTTTTTTTGATATTTCTAATGAATTTTATAGGATAGTTATTTAACACCAACGGTTCTTCCATCTGTTTCATTTCATCGTTTATATTTTCAGTTTTACATTGCAACATTCTAACAAGTTATTTATTTATTTATTTTACTATGAAAACATCTTATTTCGCATCCTACTGCATTTGATTGATAACTCTTATATTATTATTTCCGAATGTACTTTATCATCTTATATTACTGATTTTATTCAACCAAATGTCTAATCATCAATTTTACTCATGTATATAAATAAAGCAAGCAAGTTGTGTGTGAGTAGTGCCTTGATATGATTATGAGTGACAATAATTTTTGCTCGAAATGTCATCATCAGTAAATATTACTGTATAACACCACTGTGTAACTTCATCAAAATAAAATTTTATCCATAATGGAGTTATACTCTACCATCACAGTGCCCAAGTTTTATACTTATACCAATGTCTGTCTTGCTTCTCCCATCCTCCGAATTTTAACATCTTCATCTGTGTCGCTTGTAGTTGAAACAATGTCGTGTTGGGTATTATATAACTCCATACTTCCATATATATATATATATATATATATATATACTACACTCATTACACAGTAATACAGAACTAGCTAATATCAGTATAATAACGTATGATGAGAATCTCCGAATTGTCATTTGAGTACGGTTATGGTGCCATCAAGTGATGGTGTTTTTACTCATCATTTCAAACTTTAAAGGCTTCTCAATCAGAAAAACAGATCCTTCTCTTTATTGGAGAGGGACCTTCAGTCTCTCTGTTGACATGTCGGCGCCTAGTGAGTGAGTTGTTCAACACAAGACGTTGAAAGTTAACACGACGTTATTCAAGAAAATCTCCTTTGAAACCTCTTGAACTCTGTGATAACCAGAAGGCAGTCAGTGAATAACTTTTATGTCTGTTGTTGGGTTTTGCTTACTCGAATTTCAAGTATTGGTTTGTAGGAATTTGGTTGATTGGTTACAGGATTTCATCATGAGCTGACATCAGTTAGAGAACCATTGGAAAACCTGGGAGTACTGAACAGCTGTTTCGTCCTACTTTGGGAATCTTCAGCAGTACGCACCCACCGGGGTTCGAACCAGGACCTTCTGGTTACAAGGCTAGCTCGTATACCATTAAGCTAGTGGGACCCGATCCAATGGCCCATGAATTCTAACTTCTGCCAATTCACGACATAGTGCGACCCCTAGCCAATGTCTTCGGCGAGTATTTGTCCTCACACCCGACCTGCTGCACCCTACTGGTCACGACTTCCCACTGGAACCCCAGGCAACTACCTACCTGAATAGGGCCCGCAGCAGCATATGAGGCCTGAGAGGCATTTGAAGTGAAAGATGGATGTTTAGGCAAATGAGTCAATGAGTCTCCTCAGCAGTGCACACCTCCTCCCTACCAGGGATCGAATCCAGGACCTTCAGGTACCGAGATCCAGCTCGTTGACCATTCAGCCCTGTTGGGCAAGAATTCAATGAACCATGAATTCTAACTTCTGTCAGTTTTTATTATAGCGCTATCTCTCGATCAGCAGCAATCTCCAGCTCACTAATTGCTACTTCATAGATGGATGTCATGAAGCTGTACTGAGTAGTCGTGCCAATTGGGCTCATCGAAGACACTGGTTGAGGGCCATTGAATTCCTGTTTATGTGACTGAATTGTCAACGAGTTTGGTTTTCTAAACTGAAGACCGTGGGTCGTGGGTGTGAGCGTTGATGAAGAGTCCCGAACTAGGACGAAACAGGTTTACAGTGTTTCCGGATCTTCAATGATCTCTCTAACTGATGTTTTTCGGTTGATATCAGAATCTACACTGAAATTGATCTATTATCCTTGTAAAAACCCCATAATCTGAACATGATAAACGTTCCGTGTATGAAATTAAATTATTGCAGGCAATGAGCAGGAAGCATTGGACCTATGCTTCATGCTAGCTGGCACTCATCAGTCAATAAGCGGACCTACAACCTTGAGAGAATTAATGTTCCTTCTGAGATTCGAACTCGTGTCACCCTGTGCTGCAGCCAGTCAGAGACGTTACTACTGAGCTAGTCAGGCTCAAAGTAACAACGTATCCAATACAGTCCTACAGGAAGTGAATCCAGACAGCCTGAAGAGCTCAGTGGTGACGTCTCTTACTGGCTGCAGCACAGGGTGATGCATGTTTGAATCTCAAAAGGTACATGAGTTCCTTTGAGGTTGTAGATACGCCTTATTGACTGGTGAGTGCCAGCTAGCACGAAACCCAAGTCAAGCAGGGCTTCCTACCGATTGTCTCAAACCATCTAATATCAAAAGAATGGTTACTGAACAAAAAATACTCTTTTCGAGCACCTCTTCTTTATCAGGTTCGGCAGTTATATATACATAACAGTGAATGGATTAGTGTTATTAACACCATTAATGTTGTTTAAATTACACTGAATCAATAATAATAACAATATCAGTGGATTACAGTTGATAGCATCAACATAACAATACCCTGAATAAATATCAGAAAAATTAGGAAAGATAATAATATAAATTCATGAATTTATATTCTCTACTGAAGGCCAGCCAGGGCAGTAGTAGTGGCTGTGTGGTACAGACTGAATTCTATCAGTCAGATTTATAATTTGGTCACCATTCTAGGTAGCTCGCCATCACGATATGTGGTGAGAGCTGGCTGCTAGCCAAAGTTGGTAGACAGTAATTGACCTCAATTTTTACGTCCCCAATATTCATGGTGAGAAAATGAGAACAAAGGCTTTGCGTAGGCGGGTACAGTTAGCATATGGATAATCTGACACAGCCACAAAGAGATGAAAGGTTAACTTTCTGTGAGAAACAAATAATCAGAAGAATGTATTTCCTACTAACAATAATCTACAATAATGTACATTAAAAATCTATAAATATGTGTTGACTTTCCTTAATAAACGATCTGTTGCCTAGCCCTTGTCTTCTGTTGTTACAGCTGGACTTGCTTCTTTTGCACACACAAAAAACACTGGTTGTTTTACGCGAATCTCGATAGCCTCTGCTGTTTGGAGCATGCGGTACCTGGATATTTTTGGCAATTTCTATGATACCCGGTAGATGATAGAGAAAGATTCTTCGACGCTGGCTTTGTGCCCGGTTTTGATCAGGTGGCCTAATATCGAACTGTTGATGGATTTAACTACACCTTTACTTAGCCATACTGGGAGATGCTCCCGATGGAGCACGAAAAATCAAGTTCCCAGAGCAACAGCCGATATAACTCACTCCACCACAAGCGTAGTTGAATTGGTTGATATGTGGTGAGTGCTACTTATAATCCGATATAAGTAGTATATCAGAAAGCGAATTCAGAAAAGTAACAATATGTTTTGCACACTAGAAAGAGCGATCAAAGAAGAGAACCATGAGAAGAATGTTGCCATATGATGCAGAATCTAAGAAGCTATCGAATGTGACGATATTTGACTAATTCGTCAAGGATATGGTAAATGATGTGCAAATGGCAGTTTGAAAATATGGTATGGTCAACTCAGGACATTCAGCGC